AATTAGAGACCCAAATAAAACAAATATTTGTGTTTTTCAAATAAATTTTCTTTAGTCTCTTTTATAATAAATGAATTTATCTATTTCTAAGTAAAAATTGAAAGTGTCTGTAGAAGTAATTTTTTAAAATATCCTTTTTTCTTGATAAAGTTTTAATACTTATTATAATCTAGACATGTTAATTTTTAAATATACTTGTATATTGGGCCACGAGTATATATACTTATGGCCCAAAACTCCTTGACTTCTTCCAATGCGGCCCAGAAAAACAAAAAGGTTGGACACCCCTGATCTAGGACGTAATCTCCTGCATACTCACTCATTGAGGTGGAGCGTTAATGGCGGCTCTTCTATGGGACTAACAGAATTGCGTTTGTTCTCAAAATTTGATCAATCGATTTTGATAATACTGTACTACTATTTTCCATTAATTGCGATGATGAATCCACGAATATATACATATATATATATATATATATATATAAAATGGCGGTTAAGACTGTTTTCGAGATACAAGGTCGCTATCACAAGCGTGTGCGACAAGGCACGATGACCCAAAGTGGCTAGCAAGTCTTCTATGTGGCTTAGAGAATTTGATGGGCCGATTTTGATAAAATGTCATTTTCCGTTAATTGCAAAGATTAATCCAAAGATGTTATAAAAAATGGAGGTCCATGACTTCGTTTTCGAGATACAAAGTGACAACGTCCACGCTCTTTGACGTGATTAAGTGCTCCTAACGGAATTTAGGGGACAAATTTATAGAAAGCACTGCATGCGCCTAACAGAAAATGGATGCGAAAAACGAAAAAAACACAAGAATAAGAACAAAAAGTGCCGAACACGAAGAATGATCCAAGAACAAAGAAAGCGATTATTTTGTTCATGGATCGCATTCTTTCCGACTCCGCCTCAATTCTAAGGCTACGTCCTACTTGGTAGCGTCCAGCGACCGCGAACGGAAAAAATCTTTGTACGCGCGTCCAACTCGCGAGCGATTTCTGTCCAGAGTGGACGCGTGTTGTTTACAAGATGGCGACGAGAAGACTTCGTCGAATGCTACTATGGAAAATATGACAAGCATTAAAACGGTAAATTTGACAGTTAATTAATTGTTATCACTAACTAGATACACAACAAATATAAATAATCTTTATAAAATAATAAGTTAAAAAAATTTTTTAAACAAAATCAGAAATTATTAAATTATGTAAAAGATTATTAAGTACATACGACATATATACATAATTTATTTGTCATTCTGTTTACATTCATCTTCAAAATCAGCCATTTTCTTCGTTGGAAGCGCGCAAGGTCCTAGAACGGGTAGCCAACATACGGCCCGTCTAATGAATTTATGCGGCCCGCGATTAATCTTTCAATATTAGCTACTTAAGTCCGAACAGCTCGACGAAAAATTCTAACGCCTAAAAAGGTCAACAACTCACTGTGCATTCAGAGCTAACGCTCCATTACAAATGTCTTAAGCACAGCGTAGAATGTCGATAATGCATGATAATATGAAAAATGTATCTGTAACCTCTATGTACTGTACAATTTAGTCTCTACGGGATGACACCACAATGAGATCTCGCACCCCTAGGGCAGCCTCTGGTTCGGCCCGTGAAAAAAGTTTTCTTTCGAATTCGGCCCGGGGGCAAAAACTGTTGGCCACCCGTCCTAGAATATACCTTGGGAAGCGCGAGCAGTGGAAGCGGCGATCAAACTGGCTTGATAGCTGCTTCCTGCACGCGCGTGTAGAAGCGTCATCTGGTGGTCGCTACACGCTAAACGCGGTTACTCCGAACGCGCACATTTGCTTGAACTGGTTTGTCCGCTCCGTTGGAAGCTTGGTCACTGGACGCTGCCACGTCGGACGTAGCCTAACGCGATAAGATAAAGTCTCGGGCGTTAGAATTGAGGCGGACTCAAGACTATACAATGATAATCTGAATGCAATTTCCATATCACGGACTCACAAAATTAATTTATTGACTTATCCAATATAAATTTTGAAGCATTGTTATATAATTTCAAAACAAATATTTCAATGATCAAATAAAAGCTTATTTACATTTTTACGCTAATGAATTTGATTTCTACTTTTCTTAGAAGACGAATAAATTTTTGTTTGTTTGTTTAAATTTAATGATAAAAGTAGTATTATAAGAAAACATTTATAATTGCAACAATGTTTTTTATATAAAGATTAAATATTAATTCATCAAAGTATTCCGATAATAAATATTACTTACAAGCTAGGCGCCTTCTTCACGGGCCTTTCACACGATATGCATTTTGCCATGTGCCTAAGAATAATATATAAAATTCTAATTTATGTAAATTATGGAAAGTAATTTCAAATCAAATATATTATTACGTTTTTGTTCCTGCTGGTATAGGAGTTTCCCATTCCATAAAAGATTGAAGCTGTTTCATTCTGATCGCTAAACCTTTTAACTTATTTTCTATCATTGTAGAGAGATTCTCTACTTCCGCTTTTTCTGACTTATTATCTAATTGTTCAATCAAAATACTACTCGTTTTATTTAATACTTCTTCCTATTCAAAAATAAATATCTTTTGTTGTAATTTTACATTTAAAAAATTAATTATGAAATATTTCATATTAAAAAGTCTCACTTGATTCGTAATACTTGATATTATTTCATGCATGCTTTTGTTGATGTCTTTTACCATATTTTCATATTCTTCTTTGTTTACTTTGCCTTCTACGTCTTTAATTTCCGCTTTCTATTCATTAATTTATGTTTATATATGTCAATATATGAATATTGAGTTCTTAAAATATAGAAAAACAAATCCTTACGCTAGCTAATGCATTATCTACTTCAATTTTATTAGCTTTCATGGCTTTCAACATACTTATGCTACTCTGCAATTCCTGTAAAATAACGTCTATTTAAAATGTTTGTATATCAATAACTTAATTATAAATTACTACTAAGTATTGTATAAATCAGACTAAATTTAAAAAACTTTATTTTGCAAAATATGTTCCTTTGATATTCAAATATATTGTTCATTTATCGTCAATTGTCTGGAAACTTCACAGAACATTGACGTAACTTAGTTAAAATTCCCAGACTAGCTCAGTAAACTGTAATAGTGACATTTTATGTTTCAATAATACTCTTGTAATACAAATTATTCTCTTTTTTATATATTACAATTATCGATAGCCAATGGCCTAGACTATAAAAGTTTCAGTCTTTCGCTCTGAGGGTCCGAGTTCGAGTATGGAATTTTTTAGAAAAAACTTTTTCCTCTCTGTTGGCACTAAGATCTGTTTTTTACAAGTCTATTATGGGTTCGGCCAGGCGCACATGGAGCGAGAGCCGGGTGGTGAGCGATCCGATCGACATATCCGGACGAGTTATTACCGAAAAATCCAGATTCGATCCAAGATCCCCAGAACGGACTATCAGTAGGCTACCACCTTAAAAAAAATTAAATCAAGTAATCCGAAGACAAAATTTAAAGTCAGAGAAATAGCCAGAGAAGACACTATTAATTTATCTGTAATTCTACATTTTTTGGATATCCAGTACAAACCTCAATTAATATAAATCGTTGACAATCTTTTTCAATATCTTTTAATCTTGATTGAACAAGTTGAAATTCTTCTTTATCCTGCAAAGTTAAAATATATCCAAACTACAGGTTATTCTATTTTACGATATTTTACTATGTAAATATCTTAAACCTCGGGCGTAAATCCTCTTTCATAATAATCCATTAATATTTTAATATTTTCGTTTTGTTTACTGAATTCATCCTTAAATACAGAGAAATTTTCGTTCATTGTTTTATTTTCAACAGTAACTTGCTTGATGTTGAGATGAACATTCATTAATTGTTCCATTATATTGGCTTTATCCATTTCATCCAATTCTAAATCTTTTCCAAATTTATTGATAATTGGATTAGCTTTTTGTACAAATTCATCAAACTAGAAAGAGTTCGAAATAAGCCTTAGTACTATATAATTACTAAATAAATACTACAAATTGCATTAAAAGAAACAAACGCTTACTAAATTTCCAAGTGTAGCTAAGTCATAGCCTCCTAATAAATATAAATTTTACATCATTATTAATAATAATAAAAATCTTAAGAGTAATAAAGAAACATTCTATGTATTTCATTGGTTCAAAAAGAAAAAGGCTACAAGGCCCCATACCAAGCTTTTAAAGGCCTTGCTTGACAGTGGCCTAACGAGTGTGGCTCTGGACACAGGCGCTAATTAATTAAAGGTATATATACATAAATATAATTTATTAATTAATTAATTTATTTAATCCAGGACCAGATTTTTGGGTTTTCCGAATTCGTGCCCAAGGGCCTTCATAAATAGAAAATAATAATAATGAAAAAAAGGAGAGAAACGAAAAAATAGTGGTAAGAAACGATCCAGAAAACGAAATTTGGCAAACTATATTTGTAAATCTAAATATATATAACTCAAAGGTGACTGACATAGTGATCTATCAACGCACAGCCCAAACCACTGGACGGATCGGGCTGAAATTTGGCATGCAGGTAGATGTTATGACGTAGGCATCCGCTAAGAAAGGATTTTGATCAATTCTACCCCCAAGGGGATAAAATAGGGGATGAAAGTTTGTATAAATCTTCTTAGATTTTCGACTGATTGAACTGAAATTAAAGATTGGAGCTACTATGATGACGTCTGCTTAAATAGGATTTTGATAAATTCAACCCCCATGGGAATAAAATAAGGGATGATGGAGGATGTAAATGTATTAGTTTGAACCTATCAGTACCTAATGGAACGAATAAATTAAGACGAGCAAAATAATTTGTAGTTCTAAATGTTGACAATAGATGGCGTTAGTAGTATTTTAAAACGCGCTATCGTCGTGTTTTCACTGAGTTACATATACCCGATGATGAGTGGCCGCCGTATCTAATAGTACATACTATACCTAAATATTTCTAGCGGATTTCATTGTAGAGAGATTCTCTACTTCCGCTTTTTCTGACTTATTATCTAATTGTTCAATCAAAATACTACTCGTTTTATTTAATACTTCTTCCTATTCAAAAATAAATATCTTTTGTTGTAATTTTACATTTAAAAAATTAATTATGAAATATTTCATATTAAAAAGTCTCACTTGATTCGTAATACTTGATATTATTTCATGCATGCTTTTGTTGATCTCTTTTACCATATTTTCATATTCTTCTTTGTTTACTTTGCCTTCTACGTCTTTAATTTCCGCTTTCTATTCATTAATTTATGTTTATATATGTCAATATATGAATATTGAGTTCTTAAAATATAGAAAAACAAATCCTTACGCTAGCNCTAAAAGTCTGCTTTGCCATGACAATAAACAAGTCTCAGGGGCAAACTCTCAAATTTGCGGGTATTGACTTGAGAGAACATTGCTTCTCTCATGGACAGTTTTATGTTGCTTGCTCACGAGTAAGTTCACCCAATAGCTTGATAGTTTTAGCGCCTAATGACAGATTAGTTAAGAATATTGTGTACAAAGAAGTTTTGTAGGCCCTAATTTTTACACACGCTAAACAAAAGTAAAGCCGCAAAAACTATACCTAATTAATAATAATACTTTTTAACGCGAGCGAAGCCGCGGGCAAAAGCTAGTATCGTATAAAATTAAAGTATAGAACGCTGTAGTAGAATTTACACAGGCATTAGTCGTTACAGGGTATTCACAATTGCGAGTGTCCTGGGACCACCACATAAAATAAACCCATTCCTGACTATATAATTAAAATAATTTAGAAAAAATAAACTTAAAATTTCACATATATACACTATAAGGAGAGATTGACTTTTGGACATTCGATTTCCTGAAAATTCGAGTTCCATAAATATTTTGATAACAGCAAAATCATTTGTAAACATTAATTTTCATTGTCTGTTTTCTGTTTAATTTATTGTTTTAACGTTTTAAATAATGCTTTATGTGTTATGAAAATTTCAATTTTTTATAGGGAATATTTTTACATCTTAAGAGATTTTACAATTTTTCTTTTCAGTTCTGTGGAAACGAAACTTTATTTATAACGTGTAATTCGTTTGGTGACTTTCGTGGGGATTTTAATTAACGTCCATTACGTCCAAAAATCGGGAAATGAGTTTATATATCACGGATCCACTCACTTTACATCATAGTCGCCAAATTTGATACTTGATATCGCATAAGATTTAGGATCTTATTAGTACTGGATTTCAAGTACTGAACGAAGACAAATATATACAAGTATAGGATACATTTTTGCGTGTTTGAGTCCGCGAGGTCTTTGACAAAAATCTAGATTGTTTATCCCTACAGCCACTGAATGAGGATAAAAATGATACTCACTCTCGTGATGACTTGTAAATCCAGTGTTATCCTAAAGAAAATATTAAATTGTATTTTATTTTGGCATTGACATATCATATATACCAACTACTTAAATTTAAACTGTAAAAAAAATTAATAAATTTAAATTTCATTTAAAATAAAGCAAAAACACCTCTAAAAACTTGATACGATCGTAAGTTACATCCAATAACTCATAAGCGTCCACTAATCGCTTATCACCATCCACCTAAGTTTTAACGAAGCATATTTTAGGTTTGAATATTGAAAAATATGTATTTATTGTTATATAATTGTCATTATTAATTAAATATTATTAAATAAAAAATATGATGTACAATTTTATCAATCTTGTCAATTATTTGAGAATGTTCAGTCAGTTGTTCGTTAATTAATGATAAATGTTTCTCCACATAGTCTTTCATTTCGAGATATTCTTTCTTTATTACAATTTCTTGTAGCTTTTCATTGACTACATTCTAAATTAAAACGTAAATAATCATCAAAAATAAAGTAAGTTGAATTATCTTTAGTTTTGATTAATATTTTCATTTCAGTTTGCTTACAAACCACTCTGCCACACTCATCATATGCTTTTCGACTTCATTAAATATTCTTTCCTGTAAATAAATTCCAAAATACGGTTAATAATAAGGCATACTTTTCATTTAACCTTTTAACAGTTTTAATTATCATTATAAGCCTATTTATTTAGTAATAATGATATGCTTGTAAAATATGATACACTTACATTTTCCTTCTTCTTTTTTTCAAAATCTCTTCTTTGTTTATCTATAGTTCTGGCATGGATATCTAACACGCTTACAATCTTTAATAGGAAAAAGTAATGAAAAAAAATCATATTTTTCTGTTTTTTCTTTTATATTTTAAAATGTTTACCTTATCGATGCCAGATTCCATAGCATCAATGCGTTTCGAAAAATTCATACTTTGCCACATGTTTCCAACCATCCACTTCCGTCCAGAACAGTAAGTATCGGATAATACATCACTCGATTCTTTGCTAGGAATTTTTTTCTCATACTCTACATTAAAAGTTTTTGGCTCTTCAAAAGATTTATCAGAAATTTTAGCATCATTTATGCCACGAATAGTTTGTTCCGAAGAAATGGTTTCGATTTCATGTTCGTCTATTTCATTAAGAGATTCTTCTTCCATTACAGAACAATCTTTAATATTAGTTTTTGTTGAAAAATCTATTTCTTCCAAGTTTGAAATACCAGATTTTACACTTGATTCTTCTTCTAACACAGCTTTATTTGTAGCATTTTCAATTTGAAGCGATTCCATTTCTTCATTTAATCCATCCTCTTCGTACTCAAGTTCCTGCATGTTTAACGAAGATTCATGGTCATCAGAAATTATCATCTGCCGTTCATATTTAACAACCGTTCCCATCATTGAAGATTGCTGTAAAATGTCTTTTGATCCAGCAGGTGAAATAATATCAGATTTTTTGTGCTTCTTAAAAATATTTGGCGCGCTTGTAAAGAAGCAAGCGGTATCTTGGAGATCCTTTACTAAAACTCTTGCTCTGATATCCTGTTAAAAATAACAATATTTGTTTAAGTTCATAAATTCTGTTTGTAGTTAAAAATATAGAATTTTAATTTGAACTCACATGAATATCGAGCTCTCTAACAATCACTTTTAAAATGGTTCGAAGGACTTTAAAGTTTACTACTCCTACTTCTGGAGTATTCAGAGCCACATCGATTAATTGATCCAAAGTAAAAATTTTGCTTTCCATACTACTATTAATTTGTTCCTTTGAATAATTTATTTTAATTAGTTTAGAATGTTTCACTCGAATTATCTCAATTAATTTTAAAAAATTTGGAATTTCAAGTTTACGAGTGTAATCTTATCTGAAAGCACATAAACGTTCAATAATAAATTTAAACAATTAAATATATTTTTTTTATTTGTTGAAATCACGAGAAGATATTTAAGTGAATTTATTTTAAAACATTAGATATAAAAGAAAATAATTCTAAACTATTTTTTTTTTTATTCGTGAGATTCAGAAAAAGTATTGTGTATAGCAAGAGATATCCAAGATTTGACATTCTAATTTTTCTTATAAAACTTATCTGTACCCTCAAAATTATTATTATAAAACGGCAAAAGGCTTAAAGTTTTTATGATAAAATCTCGTAATAGATTCTCTTTTTCTTACAAGAAGTTTCGGTAATACAGTGATACCCCGACTTACGCTACCCCGACTTAAGCCGGATGCACACATGCGGCGCGACAAGGAAAAGCGGTGTCGCAAACGCATCTTCGCCGCGCGGTAGCACAGCCACACAAGCGGCAATCCGCTTACATTTCGGCGCATGCGTTCAGTATTCAATATGGCGAACATTACCGATATTGTCGCTATCCACGTGTTTTCAAATTTTGTTTTGTACGGCTTGCTTTATTTAGTTAGAAGATTCGAACGAAGATTTTGGATTAGGGATGTTTTCTTGGATTGATAAAGAACTGGTGTACAAAATACGCTTATTCCTCGATAAAGAATACTATTTCGAGTAAGATTCGGTTGTTTTGTTCTTTGAATTAAATTATATATGATTATTTGTGTAGAATTTGTGTTAAATTTATTATCCTTTCCTCTTTATTCTGATGTTAATTATCTCGGTTAACCGCGTCGAACTTTCCGCCATTAAAACACCACGTGATTGTATTTTCTCACGTGACTACCGGACGAACCGTTATTGGCTGATAGAAACGCGTCTTGGCGGCGGTTTCCGCAAAAGATAAAATTCGACCTACTTTTGCTGCACGAGAAAAGCGGCACAAAATCGACTTCTGCGGCGAGAAAAAGTGACGTCATCCTGCCGCATGTGTGCATCCGGCTTTACGCGTACTCGGAGTTACGCGATTTTCAAATCTCGTCGATTCGTCTTTTGTTTGAGCGCCACGCACTCTTGATTACTCACTCCCCCCATACTATTGTTCGGCTTACATGCTCGGACGTGTCGCGCGGAATCGACACATAGCTACAATTTATTTTGTGTTATTTATTTCTGTGTTTGTTATATCTACGGAGACTCGAGAGACTCTATATGGTGATTTCTTGTAACCATGAACGAATCAAATGACGAGATAAGAATAACGAGAACATTTATTAGCTTACATACATCTGACTTGGATTTTACACAAATTGCGAAATTATACCCCGACTTACGCGAATTCGACTTACGCGGTTATTGCTCGGTTCCACCTATCGCGTAAGTTCGGGGTATTACTGTATTTAGTTGCACGTGGATCTAGAGTCTAGACCAGTGTTTCTCAACGAGGGCGATATCGCCCCCATGTGGGCGTTTTTCCATGTTTAGGGGGCGATTAGTAACAATTTATATTTTGGGGTTGCGAAAAACATTTTTCTGGGCGATGTAGTAAAACATTATATTAAGAATAATTAGATATTTTATTTCTTATATCGTACAATAATTAAACAAATAACTAGTCACTAGTCTATTCAATGCAGTACAAATTTGGCGTTAGCCTTAGGCCTAGGCATCGGAATTTTGAAGTGAAGGGGGCGATACTACATAACGGTTTTATTGAAGGGGCGACGATTCGTTATACCCCGTTCGCACCGAGCATTTCGATCTAGATTGTGACTAAGGTCGGAGCCAGTTCCGCGGTGCGAACGCTCTCGACCGTTTCAATCTCAAATGAAACGAGGTTCAATTGCGATCGACTGGAGAGAGTTCTCGAAACTAGATATAAGAGAGATCCCACAATCCCACGCGCGCGAGAAAATACAAGATGGCTGCGGAACACGTGTCGGGCTATCGACAGAGAAATAAAAAAGACATCTGGAGAGACGACGACATCTGTCTATTATTAGATGTACGGCAAGAAAAAGTATTTATTTCTAACCAAAACTTCCATTTTGTTTGTTGGTGTTTGTGACTTACCGCTAGTTACGTCAGTTTTATGATCGCGTGTAATAGCCAGGTTCTTCTCGAGCGGACTGCCTGTGCGAACAGCACGACGTTCGACTAGCGACAGTCACAATCCAGATTGTAGGTAAATCGAGATAGAAGTGAGTCGTGGATTGTGTGCGAACGTAGTATTAGAGGTTGAGAAACACTGGTCTAGACGTTTATACGAACTTGCGCTCTCTGTCGGCCAAAATTATTATCTTTGAAATCTAAGAATAGAAAACATCACCAGACCATGATATAAAAAGACCCTGCTATAAGTAATTATATAGATAATATTAATTATTCTCTTAGTAATTTATTTAAAAATATACACTATTATTTACAACCTGGTATAAATTTTAATTGTATTTATTAATTAAAATATAGGATTTGACTTTATAGTATCACAAATTCCTATCGATGACAATTATGAATTGCGATTGCACATCCTTTTCTATTTAACTTCAGTAGTAAATTGTCACGTCCTAATTCGTTTGTTTCCTGACACATTTATGAAATTCACGAGTTTAAATTGTCTTATTGATATATTAAGGCCTTTTAATGTAATTATATATTACGAAATATATTCGTGTTTATTATTTTCAGATATTGTGCTCGTAATACAGCTGGATAAACAAGCCAATGGCATACATCGTTTCATTTGGAAGGGGCTACGTCATTGGTTTGCTTATCAGTTGTATTAGCTTCACGAAACAAGACCCTCATCGGAATCGAACGTTATGATTATATTTAACTGTTTTGTTTATTTATTCGCATCTCCATAAGTTTTACATGATCAATTTTATATCAATATTTTTCAGTTTCCGACAAAACGAAGAGATTACGATTAGTCATATCTAAAAGTATTATCTAATCTTGTCGATACGACGTAGGTCTTATACATTTTTAATTGTTAACAATCAACCTGTGAACATTGGAGTGCACAAAAAAAAGAAAAACAGTAAGTAGAATATTTAAAATTAAATGTATTAAATTGTATTGTAATATATATTTAATATACAATAACAAAATTATAGTAATGGAGAAGATGAAATATTATAAGGAAGTGGGTGGAGTACACATGTTCACTTTTTTATCAGAAGAATCTTTTTTGTCTGGAATGAATTATAAAGCGAAACCTGGAGATTTATTTCTTGCTAGTTATCCGAAATGTGGAACAACTTGGATGCATCAGATAGTCAAGTTGATTTTTGCTAAAGGTCAAATATCAGAAGATCCGTTGGATTTAATTTTTAGCTTTCCTTTTGTAGAAGTTTTGGGAGCAGAATACTTAGAAACGGCCAAACCTAAAGGCATGAGAACACATTTACCTTTTTTTGCTGTGCCTTACTCGCCAGATTCTAAATATATTTATGTTACCAGAAACCCTAGAGATTGCTGTGTTTCATATTACCATTTTATGAAACTGCTGCCATTTCCTGGCGAGTTAAATTTTCNTATGATCGCGTGTAATAGCCAGGTTCTTCTCGAGCGGACTGCCTGTGCGAACAGCACGACGTTCGACTAGCGACAGTCACAATCCAGATTGTAGGTAAATCGAGATAGAAGTGAGTCGTGGATTGTGTGCGAACGTAGTATTAGAGGTTGAGAAACACTGGTCTAGACGTTTATACGAACTTGCGCTCTCTGTCGGCCAAAATTATTATCTTTGAAATCTAAGAATAGAAAACATCACCAGACCATGATATAAAAAGACCCTGCTATAAGTAATTATATAGATAATATTAATTATTCTCTTAGTAATTTATTTAAAAATATACACTATTATTTACAACCTGGTATAAATTTTAATTGTATTTATTAATTAAAATATAGGATTTGACTTTATAGTATCACAAATTCCTATCGATGACAATTATGAATTGCGATTGCACATCCTTTTCTATTTAACTTCAGTAGTAAATTGTCACGTCCTAATTCGTTTGTTTCCTGACACATTTATGAAATTCACGAGTTTAAATTGTCTTATTGATATATTAAGGCCTTTTAATGTAATTATATATTACGAAATATATTCGTGTTTATTATTTTCAGATATTGTGCTCGTAATACAGCTGGATAAACAAGCCAATGGCATACATCGTTTCATTTGGAAGGGGCTACGTCATTGGTTTGCTTATCAGTTGTATTAGCTTCACGAAACAAGACCCTCATCGGAATCGAACGTTATGATTATATTTAACTGTTTTGTTTATTTATTCGCATCTCCATAAGTTTTACATGATCAATTTTATATCAATATTTTTCAGTTTCCGACAAAACGAAGAGATTACGATTAGTCATATCTAAAAGTATTATCTAATCTTGTCGATACGACGTAGGTCTTATACATTTTTAATTGTTAACAATCAACCTGTGAACATTGGAGTGCACAAAAAAAAGAAAAACAGTAAGTAGAATATTTAAAATTAAATGTATTAAATTGTATTGTAATATATATTTAATATACAATAACAAAATTATAGTAATGGAGAAGATGAAATATTATAAGGAAGTGGGTGGAGTACACATGTTCACTTTTTTATCAGAAGAATCTTTTTTGTCTGGAATGAATTATAAAGCGAAACCTGGAGATTTATTTCTTGCTAGTTATCCGAAATGTGGAACAACTTGGATGCATCAGATAGTCAAGTTGATTTTTGCTAAAGGTCAAATATCAGAAGATCCGTTGGATTTAATTTTTAGCTTTCCTTTTGTAGAAGTTTTGGGAGCAGAATACTTAGAAACGGCCAAACCTAAAGGCATGAGAACACATTTACCTTTTTTTGCTGTGCCTTACTCGCCAGATTCTAAATATATTTATGTTACCAGAAACCCTAGAGATTGCTGTGTTTCATATTACGATTTTATGAAACTGCTGCCATTTCCTGGCGAGTTAAATTTTCAAGAATTTCTTGAAGTCTTTCTCGAAGGTAACTTAGGATACGGAGATTATTTCGATCACCTTCTTGAATGGTACAAACATAAAAATGACGACAATGTTCATTTTGTAACGTACGAAGATCTCAAGAAAGATATTAAGGGAGAAATTTTGAAAATAGCCAAATTCCTTGGTGAAGAATATGAAAAATGTATTTTGAATGATGCGACAATATTAGAAAATATTATTCGTTACAGCAGCTTTGATTATATGAAAGAAAGCAGTAAGAAGAACCTTGATGTGTTTTTTAAAAAGGACAAAAAATGGCTAGAAGATAAAAATTTACCTCCTGGAGCGATGAAATCTATACAGAATTTTAATCAAAGTGGAAAGGATACAGAAGGTGGGACGTATGTTAGAAAAGGGATTATTGGAGATTGGAAAAATCATTTTAATGAAGAACAAATACGATTGTTAAATGAAAAAATTGTCCAACGAACAAAAGATAGTGATGTCATAAACTTGTGGAAAGATATTTTTTAGAATAATTAAATACATTACCGGAAAGCTTGGGACCGGGACCGAAAGTAGTCCGGATTTCTGAGACAAGCTAAATATATAATCAAAATATAAAATGTAAAATGAACGAAATTGTATTCAACACACCATATGCCAGCAGTTACATTGAAATTGGTGACATACGACTCGTACTTCATAGAAACCATAACAAAGCAGCTGCGCGTTGAACTACAGCTTTACTACAGCCTGTCAAATTCAAAACTGCCAATTTCAAAAATAGACAGTTTTCTGAAAGCCGAATACTGGTCCGGTACCGTAAGCTCGCTAATCCAACCTCTCAATTATCTGATATGTCTTTTAAGCAACTGGGATCAAATCCGGACGAATAAAAAAAACCAAGCTATTTTTGGGGGGTGGTCCATCGGATATGTCGAACCTTCTGGCCGTTCCATAATGGACTTTCCGAAAAGGCCTTCTTAGTGCCCATAGGTCGGAAAGAGTTTAAAAAACCCAAGGTCCCATATAAGCTCTCGACGGCCCTTATATACCGCATATGAGATTTTTAAAAGTAAGTTTAACTTACAATTGCTTAAGACTTAAATTGTAGTTACAGGCATATTTCTATGAAATTATTTTATTCAAACAGAAAATATATCCTTTTATAACACTAATATTGTGTGTAAACACAAAAACGATTAAATTTATTGTATTCTAACTCTTACGAATTTTAATAAACATTATAAAAAAATGAAATTTTATTTGATTCAATTATATAAGTCAACATTGATCTTTTGAACCTCAAACGTCACTCTAATCATTTCTCATTTATGGCAATAAATAAATACAGTCTGTCTAAAACAAGACATGAATAAAACGAATACTTGCGAAAAGGAAAAAATAATTCGGTACCATGCGATTTCAGTTTACACAAATTTTATTGTATACTAGCAGATAAGCCCGGAAGAAAAATAACAACAGCAAAAGTTAAGATTATTAGATTATTTCGTACTTCTGACCCTTCTATTATAACATAGTATTTGATTTATATAACTACAAATGTTACCTTACATTAAAATTTATCACACCAAGTGCTCATCTAACACATTTTAAAAATTGTTTAAATTGTTTACAGTAGAGGAGTAAAGAATTTTTAAAATGTGTTAGGGTTTATCACTCGGTGTGATAAACCCTTATGTAAGATAACATTTGTAGTTATATAAATCAAATACTATGATATAACAATTATCGTACCAAAACGAAAACCATTTAAAGGTTCGGTTATTTTAGCCTACCATTGTCAGTTTTATTGCGATACTCGGATAGAACGAAATGGCACAATTTCATTGGTCAAGTAGACAGACATCAATGGAAAATACGATATTTTAAAAATTAAGATAAAATTTCCTATTTTTTTCTAATGTTAGCACTAACAACTGTTTTATTCACTGTCGAATATCAAACGGTGATCTGCCAACGAATCAAATTTCGCGAAAAATGGATCATATGTTTAAACTCTGCACCCTGGAAAACCACTTAAAACGTATTTGTGCTGGCCTGTAATCTCGTATTATGTAATTTTCGTATTTGAATGCCACCATACCAATGGGTCCGATAGAAATTCGGGACTGTTGCAGAAAGGGGTGAGATTGAAGTTAATTCGACCAAAAGTAGTACTTGTCTTCCTCCAGGGAGAAAGAACGGTCAACGACTACTACTTAATTAATAGCGATCTACTGTTAATACAGTATTTGAAAAGCAATCCGTGTTGGATAGGTTGTGATGCTCGCACATGATCAGAGTATCTAACATTAAAGTCCAAAAGACTTCAGATAATAGACTCCAAAAGAATTCAGATCAGCTTGTTTAAATAAATAAAATTCTTGTAAAAATCGAGAATAATTGCTTTTATGTAATCTCTCAAAAAATCAGGTTGAAAAAGTAAAGCTCAGCAAAAACATGTAAGTACACTTTAAAGAAAACTTGTGAAAGTTGTGGCATAAGCATACTAGAAGCAGATTTGACAGTAAGAGTCAACATGTGAATAAAGTGTAGATTATACAGGCTACAACTACAGGAGATTTATAATGAAGCAATATCGCCATGATAATAAAGAGGAAAAATAAACATCGACACAGAAAAAGACTTCGAGCTCTACTTTGTGCCTTAAAATCGTCCACGTACCTGTACATTAATTTGGCTGAACGTTAGAACATCTTAATTCACAAATTCCTGAGATTTTCGACAAAAAGTGCTTAACTCTCACGACCTCTTTTATGTTTAGGTTGGATTTCCCTCCTAGAATTTAACTTTATTTGATCTTATAGTATAACCGCAGCCGCTGGCACTATTTTTTGCTAGATCTAAAAGAATAACTAAATCTTAAAAATAAGTATATAATACTAGAACCTACGTATTAAATTTTTAATTTTCCAATATAAGTTCAATTTTCCTGAAAAGAAGTATTTAGCCAAAATTAAGCCCCAATTGGGGCCCAAAGGCCCGGCTGGGCCTCTGCGTTATTCTTAGCTCAACAATGGCAAAAATGCACCACAAGGAGTATAAATTTAAATTTTAATGGCTTAGATTATATCATTAATAATCTTCTCCATCCTCTGAGAAGAAGAAGAAGATTAGAACATTTGTAATCATTTTTAAATTGAAATATTAAAAAATACTGATAATTAATTAATTTAAAAAATATTTTGTTAATTAAATAAACCTCTACTAATAACAGATTGTCCTCTCTTAATATTGAAAAGATTTTTCAACGTTGAGTTAAATCAGTGATGCCCGAACTACGGCGTCTGGCTCAATCCGATCCTTGAATATACTGTATATGGTACAGTACATTACTTATAAATAAAAGAAGTAGGTATACTTCCGTATATACTGTATATGGAGTACACAAAATGTTGTGGTCCGTGTACTTGCGACTTAGACGCAATTTGGCGTACCAACCAAATTTTTAGGTACCACCGTCTTAAACGATTGAGAAAATTATCACCTGTGTGGCTGAACTGATTTGTATGAAAAATGTTGTACATGAAGGCAAATTTAACTAGAGCTACTATAATAGGATAGCTGGCTCGTTCTCCATTTCGGATCTTAAAAGTCTTATCTCGACTGATTTAATTTAATTTAATAGTAGTAATCTAATAGCTCGGTAACTCCATTCTATTTAATAAATATAAATTTTATAATAATTTTTTTTTCAAATTTTTAAAACTAAGCAGAGGGCGCTAGTACGTGTGCGGTTCATTTTGAATGCGTTTTATGTTTACGTTCTGAATTTAGAGAAAGTTGGGTAATATAAATCAATTTTAATATATAGATTCATTATCAGTTCGGAGGAAAATGTCGTCGACAAACGTAAGCACGATAAACTTTACTAATTAATGCGCTATCTAACATTAATTCTTCTGTGGAAGAGTTAACGTGAAGTTTATTTATTTTTCTGTTTATTCAATTAATATAGGGTGATCCTACGTTGGAAAGATATTTTAAAGGTCATAAAGGAAGTATTACAGCAGTTGATTTTAATCCCAATATGAAACAATTAGGTAAATAACTTGATAAGTTTATTAATTGTTAATATACAAAAAATGCCATAATTCAGTCTCAAATGTATAATTATGGATATAAAGTAACATTTTAACAGTTATAAAGTTAATCTGTTTTACGTAAATAATTTAAAAAATGCTTTAATGGAATAAAAGAAATACAGAGTTCTTACTATTGGTTCTGGGTTGTTAGCATTAGGTCAAATGCGCCAAATAATTGTTGCGGTGACTATTCCTTTTGCATCATGTTTGATGCAATAGTAATGAACAGTGAAGATTTTAGTTTGGTTTTATGAAATACAGGAATGCAACAAATGGGTGAAGTACCGGTACCAGTGGGGAGATGCCTTCAGGTGGTACTTTCTATTGAAAACTGACTTTTATTTAGATATTAGAAACATGAAAAGTTTAAATCCAAAAACTCCAAGTTGCCAACCTGTTGGCCAGGTGTAAACCCACAATCAACTACTGGTGTTCGGTGGTTTCTATATATACTGTCACTGGTGGGATTGGATAATGAAGAAAATGACATAGATTTTATTAAAAAAAAATAGAACATATATTTACAAATTGGATTTACTTTATATATTTACATAAGTAAAATTATCTGTCATCTCTGATAAATATTTTTAAAAATTTGATTTTGTTTTACTTATATTTTGAAAATATATACAGTAAAATTTCTCTAACTTAAAGCTCCAAGGGGCAGGAAAAACTTTGAGTTACAGACAATTTGAGTTAGAGAACAATAGAGTAAAAAAAATGCCAATTCTGAATAGTTTTGTACTTTTATCCCTCTTGCATTATATAGAGAATCTTTGATAGTTGTGGAGGTGCCATGCAAAAGCAAACAAATTCACAAAAAATTAAAGTTGAGTTTATAATTGATTTTTTTTTTATCAGTCTTATTCCTATCTACTGTTATAGTCAGTTTCACTAAAAAAATATGCATCCAACACTTTTTGAGCTTTGAAAATCGACATTCTGTGCAAAAAAAAGAACATCTCTTTACATGTGTTCCAAGCAGAACAAAACATATCCATTGCAGTCTGTCTCAGCCAATGAAGAGCTATGATTGAGTCACGTGACTTCCAGAATGCAACAGGTGGTTTTGTTTTTGTTTGTCATTTTGATGTTAAAATGTTGTTTATAAGTACACATTTTATTATACAGTGTATTTCAGTGTTATAATTGAGTGAAAAAATGAATGAAGACAGTTTGATAAGTGTAGAAGAAGGCAATGTTGGATCTAGAAAGAAACCTAAAACTGATGGAGTACGGGCAAAGAAGAAAATACAAAAATACAGTGTCCTTTGGGATGAGATTTGAGGAGCCAGTCGAGCACTACCTATAGGGCACCCTCTATCAGCTACCAAGAAAAAAGACATTGAATCACTTTTAAATGATGAAAGTTTTCATGGAATAAACAAGTGTTATGAAACGGAACCAAGCTTGGAGTAGATGACCTGGAAAAAGAAGAAAATAATGGGAACCTGTGTGATTGTTTGGGAGAAGACATTTATTGTTCATCCCTATTTTGTAAAATGCCATGTTTTTTTGACAAGTGAAAGTAGTAGCCAGTATAACAAAGTGAAAAAGAATATAGTGGCCAGGCAAAAGAAAACATATCCACCTTGTCCAAGCAAAAAGAAACATCCATATTTTAATGTCATATAATTAAATACTAACTATATTCCTATCAAAAACTGCCTTCAAATATTGATGTTAGATACAAAATAAAAAAAATAATAAATTTTTACAGGGTGTGAGGTGTAAAATAAATTCAATAACAGTTTTTTGTGTTTTTCCAACAATTGTTTAGAGTGGACTTGTTTGCTTATGTATGGCACCTCCACAGTTTTGTTTTTAAAAACAGCCCATATAATGCCTTTCACCAAAATGTTCAATGTAACTAATGGAATTGAACAGCTTTGCAGGTATTGATATACCTTGTTGAGATAAAGCAAGAGGACCTCTTACTTTGGACTGAACATTGTCTAAAACTTGTTGTTGGAGAGTAGATACAACTAACTGTCTGAAAATTTCATGGAAATTTGATAATTAGGATCACTTTGAATAGAATAAATATTAAAATTCAAATCAAGGAAGTTGAAAGTAACATAAATTAGTGTTGGGGAACTATGAAAACTTCAACTTGGAGAAAATTTGAGTTAAGGGAAATTCAAGTTGGAGACATTAAATCTCTATGCTATTTCATTGAGACTTACTAAGTGCTTTATTTTCTTCAAGTTAGAGAAGTATTTAAGTTACATATGTTTGAGTTAGAAAAGTTTTACTGTATTCTATTGTATTCTTGTAAAAAACTATATCATTTTCTTTTGATGTACATTGTAAGAGGGAAGGGTTGAGGCATTGTCAGAATGGATTTTTTTTTTCTTTTAGTGATATTAACTGGCAAATGAATTTATCCTTATAAGTCTACTTACTAGTTATGTGAATAAACTGTCAGAAAATATTTGAAGAACTGTTTTAAGTTATTTCTTTAATGTATATGGTCCATGAACTATTGTACTCTACATGTAATTACAGGGGGAGGGGTTTGCCAAAAGTACACTATTGTATGTGACTGGAAGGGAGAGGGATCAAAAGTGGCTCAAAAACTGTACATGTAATTGATGGATGGCCTTTTTACTGCTTAAACATGTGATGTTATGGTAATAGTTGCCATAATTATTTGTAATGTTTGCAACCTGATGACAGGCTAAACCATTTTTTATAATTATATAAGAGGACTACATTTTTGTTAGAATCAAATTTCCAATTTTTCTTTTAAATTATTATTTAATTTATTAAGCATTAGAATATGAAAACTGATTTATTAAATTTTAATAATATTCTATGTTAATGAGATTATGGTAAATAAATTAATTTCTTTTCATAATTTAATTCACTTAAAATATACAAATAATTATGGAAGTTAAAACATGTTAATTATTTTTTAAGTATTGTCCAACTAATAAAACAAAAGATATCAAAATTTATTTGTAATTAATGTCAATTTTAATGAATAATTAAATAAAAAAACTGAAATTGTAGACACTATAAAGAGGATGATATGGAGTATTTTATGCAAATTATGAGGAATAATAATATTGTTTACTGCAAAATATATATGATTGATATAAGACAGATATCAACGCATTGTTCAGGAGATCCTCAGATAGGTACAAATCTCATTGATGGTAGCTAACATTCTTTAAGCATATGGCACAACAAGAAGTAGAGAATGTACTTTATTCTTACCATAGACAGAAAAATATTTATCTATTGCTATAAGGGGTCTGAATTGAAATTCAAATTAGACTAGTTAATGTAATGTAAGAAAAAATTTCAAAAGTTATAAAAAAATTTATAATTTATTTTGTCAGCTTTGATGAAATGTTTTACAATGTGTTGAATTTTTTTAAGAATTTAAATAATTAAATACCTATTAAAATTAAGCAGAATTATTATTAATTAAACATTTAATTATTTATAACAAATTTTAATTATGATTTTTACTTATTTTCAGTATCAAGTAGTATGGATAACTGTATCATGGTGTGGCATTTTAAACAACAGATGAGAGCCTATCGGTTTCTTGGTCATAAGGTGAAAAATTTGTTATTAAATTAAAGGCAAGATTTTTGTCTTTATCAAGTAACATTACTATTCAACTATGGTTCCCTACATAAACCTAAAAAAAAAGAAACTGAATTACAGATCCACAAATTACTCTATGAGAATTTATGCTCCAAAATTTTTCTTGCATTCATTCTGTTTTAGCCAGATACCCAAAAATTCATTATTTGTTTATACAAAGATTTCTTTTAACTGTTTACTAAGAATATTTTATAATCTTTATTCTATATATGTATAGTAAACATTTTAATTTTGTTATCATACATCATACATTATTGACTGTATACACCAGTGAATAGCAAACTTTACCAGATGTGCATTTTTTCTTTTTTCTGGAGAGTTGCAGGCTTTAAGTCTGCTGAGTATCAACATACTCCATAACTGCAAGTTCACTAGGTATGCTAATGATATACAAACTAACAATATATAGTTTATTCTTATCTTGATCAAAGTTTAGTCTGAATGTTCATTACATATATCAGCTTAATTAATTAAGATTACATAATGGCATGAAGCAGAAAATAAAGCTGTGTTGCCGAAGTCCCTGGGGCTATATATTAGGACTAGGTCACAGGTCTTTGTGACTGCTGTACACTAAATATACATCAGTAAATAACTTTATGTTGATTATATATTTTGTCTGATATAAGCAGTTTTAGTACCATCTTGTTAAGAAGAAAACACTAATTTTAAACACTCCATTGGCATATTATTCCAATTTGTTTGATCTTGAATTTTCATAAAATTTTGCAAATCATTCAGCACTGCAGATTTTAAATGATCCATATATCATGAATTATCACTCTTGATCAAGAATTTTATTTTGTTTTTGTTCATATAGGAATAACTGATAACTTAGCAGGATGGCAATGGTGCTTGTGAGAGATGAAATCTTGCCAAATTAAAGTTTATTAAATAAAATAAACCTTAAAAATTTACCAATAGTTTATATTTTAATAGGATGTAGTGTTGCATGTTAAGTTTTCTCCTTCTGGAAATCTAATTGCATCAGCATCTAAAGATAAAACTGTTAGATTATGGACACCAAGCATGTTAGTACAAAAACAACATACTATAATTTTTATAATTATTAATGAATTTGTTTTTATTCTGTAAGTTTTTAAAATGTTTTTCATAATTTTATAGAAAAGGAGAATCAACTATATTCAAAGCACACTTAGCAGCTGTTAGATGTGTTGACTTTTCTAATGATTCACAATATTTATTAACAGGTTCAAGTGACAAGACAATTAAGGTTTGTATTATTTCAGTATAATTGCTTGTAAAAAGTAAATCTATAGATTATTGAATAACTTTTTAATCAAATTATATAAGTTCTAAAACTGTTCATTAATTTTGTAGGTTTGGCTAACTAATAGACAAAAATTTTTGTATTCTCTTTGTCATCATTGTAATTGGGTAAGATCTGCCAGGTAAGAAAAATATTAATTAGATAAATTTTTTAAAGAAAATTTTTTACTGGATCTTTATATTGATGATAATTATGGTTTGGATTTTTAGATAGTTTCAACCAAGAGAAAACCTAGACAAATAAGCTGTTAAAATCTTAATCCCTTAATCCTAAACAGCTAAACAGAATAACTAAAACCTCAAAAATTGCTAACAAAGAATAAATAAAGTTTAAATTGGTTTGCTATTTAGAAATGACCAATCCTTGCCAAATAATTTTATTTCAAATAAAAATCACAAAATAAGTGTTTTCTAATATTAAAAAACAGTAAATTTATTTAAAAGAATAATAATTGAGAAACAACTGCATGAATAATAGCAGCAAGTCAATCCTGATTCTTCCTGCATGCTATTCTCCCAATTAAAACAAATTTGAATTCTTTTACTACTGGGAATAAGAATGAACCATTCCTCACCACTAAACCCTGAGAGGTAAAAACAATTTTGTTTTTAGGTACAAAGCAAGAAGAAATTTTTAAAGTTCAAATAGTTAACATTGTGTTTATAACAACATTGTTAACCATTGTTTTGACCATTATAAACAGTCAATTTAGTTAATCTTCTACATGCTTTTTATTTTTTTCTATTTTTTTTAATAATTCTTTTTGTATAATTAATAATTTTACTGTAAAGTAAGCTATTTATCTTAATTAACATACTAATCTATATATTCATTTAAAGGAAGTTTGGGACTGTAAGACTTAGAGTATATGGCTAGGGCCTAAAATTCAGGCATTAAATTAAAGCTCTTATACTGTAAAGGATGCCTTTTCTGTAAGAGAATCAACACATTGTAAATGACAAAAAATTATAATTTCACTAATATTTTCTATACTTCTGCAGTATCATCTTCAAGTGCAAGAAAAGAGTAAATACATTAAATATTCTTAACAAAAGAAAATAGAACAAATTTCAGTATTCCTAACAATTTTTTAAAATGTAGGATAAATGAATGTCCATACACATGCTCCATATCATTTAGTATTACCTAAAGCCCTCTTATAAAAGCCTATTACTGGAAAATACACATTTCATACAAAATAAATAAAACTTGACATCATAAATTTTCTGTGTCAATATTTTTCCTGCATCAGTTGTTTTCCCTCAAGTTCTGTCAAAAACAATAAATTGAGAATCCACTGTATTATTTTTTTTATAAGTCCTTAAAACCAATATCCGCCATTATCTTATCCAAATTATTTTCCATCTTTATTCAAAATAGTTTTGTCCCCAAACAATGGCTCTCTTCCAACAGCTGTACCTAAAAATGACAAAAACTCTTTCCATCCCACTTCCATTTCACCAGTCATGCTAAAAGTTTTAAAAATTTATTTGTACCATAGACTATACTCAACAATTTTTTCTAAATTAATACCAATTCGTCACTGTGGTCTACAGAATCATTCCATTACCATCAAACTTTTGGAAACTATATCAATAATCCTTTAGAATTTTGAAAGAAAGCAAGCTGTCTTCATAATTTATATAGATATTAGCCAAGTCTTCAATTCTGTAATTTTCATCTCCTTTGTTTAATTCTTAGCAATCACTTTGAAATTGATCCTGCTTACGAATCTTGGCTTAATAATTACTACCTCTTTCATACTTGTAAAATTAAACTTGGCAATTTTGAATTTTTGAATTTCTCTCCCTTATGCAACATTCAGCAAGGTTCAACTTTAAACAGACTATTCTTTTCAGCATATTTAAACAATATACCTGGTCATGTTGCTTCACCTGTATTATCCTATGCTGACGATATTAAATTGATGAATATTTCGGACGGATTATTGATGAAAACCAAAGTATCATTGTACAGTGTACATCCATGTACAGTACCTAGCATCAATCTGCATTATTTCTTTTGCTTCTGTTGTTCTATCCTAAAACCCTCCAGTTATAGGGAAAAATAGAATGGTTTTAGGCTAAAACCTTTTCCAGCAAAACTTGTGGAGTGATGAGTAATAGCATCAGAACACTGGGTAGTTTTACCCTAAATATAGACTACCCAAAACATTATTCTGAGAGGTTGAAGTTACTCTAGAAAAGCGTAATTATCCTAGAAACAGCAGCACTGGTCAAGAATGAACACAATACAAATTCCACAAGTGTTTGCAATGCGCCCATTGACAAGTCACAATCTATCCTTCGTATTGTGGATGCATCAGCTGATGATCAGAATGCATTATTGCTTTTCCTAATCACCACATGCATAGTGTTCAAATATCATGAAAGCCACAATATGAATTTCACTTTGTAGTTGTTTTAAGTTAGCCACAACGCGTGTGGCCGTTTTTACAACTGCCACGATGCGAATTTTGCTTTGTGGCCATTTTTAAATGGCACAATGTGAATTTTGCTTCATGGCTGTTTTGAAACGACAACTACGCATTCTGGTCATTTTTTTTCGCTCAATGAGCGATTTCAGTCTTTGAGCCTAACATATACAATAAATAAATACCCTTCCCCACCTCTTCAACATATAAAGATCTTTTGGTCTGATTTCAATAAAAATTATGATTAATACAGTAGAACCTCGAAAACTCGGCCTAATGTGGACCGAAGGGTGGCTGAGTTTGTGAAAATGCCGGGTTATCGGGAATGGGGTTAAAAAAAATAAGTACGAGTGTTTCCTCAGAAAATACTGTACTGTACTTGTATGTATTGTTTACTTGAGAATATAACAGAGAATAAACTGCCCAAATACCCTTAAACAAAGGAAAAGTACGTCCTTTATGAAGGCATAGAGCCTTTACTACATGAAAATGAAAATTAATGAATACACTGTGTATAGTAATTTACCTGATAAGACAGACCTCAGAAAAATACTTTATGAGAGCTTTTATACTTTTATAAAGCTGTCTATAATGAAAATTAATTAACTAAGGATTTTTTGTCCTGCCAGGGTGTGGCCGAGTTATCCGGAGTGCCGAGTTTTCGAGGTTCTACTGTAATACAAAAAATGTTTATCTGAAAGAATTTCATAAAATCATCCTGGACATAGAGTTTGGGTTTAGGGAAATGTCAAAAAATTTAATATTTGTTAATAAAGTTATAAAAACATTAATTACTCCCACTCATTTTTTAACAAGTGGGGTGATTAACATTTTTGATACAATAAAAAAACACCTTTAACAATCCAGCAAATAAAATTTACTAAAATAAAAAATAACAACATTTTCGATCGTTTTTAATCGATCTTCTTCAGTTTCTATAAAATAGAACATGAAAATAGAATGTAAATTTAAATATAAATTTAAATTTATGTTCTATTTTAAACTATTATAAAAATGTTTTCAATCATTTTATTTTTTATTTTAATAAATTTTATTTGCTGGATAGTTAAAGGTGTGGTTTTATCGTATTTATTTATCCAATACGTACAATATATGAACATTTTTGATGTTTTCCATTTGAAATTTTTTTCAAAAATTACCTGTGCTCATTTTTAATTAGTGGGGGTGATTTTTGAAAAAATTTTCAAAACACATTTCTTTTGATAAACTAAAACTCTATACATGTAAAAAACTTTTATAACTTGGAAGCTTTTTGAGATATGGCCTCAACCCCTTAATATCTCCCAAATCAACAGTCAAATTTTCCTGAAAATTTCTAGAAACATTTCCTCCTAATACACTAACCTTACTATAAAATGTCAAAAATTTTCTACAAAAGGCAGAGGCATTGTTCAGCTTTGGGCAAACAAAATTGCACGCACGCACACACACACACACAAAAACCCCCAGATTTTTTGCATTTCTTGATGTTTTAAGGTCCCCGAGTCCAAAAATATAAAAATTTGGGGACAGTAATTTTTTGACTGTGTCTGTTGCTGGGAAATAAAAAGGCCCATTTAATAGAAAGGGTTAAAATTATATTAGTGAATTGCATTTTAATAATAATAATGTTATTCATTAACACTATGTATAGTAATCATAAGCATGAATGGCAGCTCAGGAGCATATCTATTGTTCTGAGGGGCTAGTATTGCCACCAGGTGCCTTAGTCTCAAGTTTTTCGTGTTACAACTCCCAACGTGTTGAAGGTGTCACATGGTACCATCTCACACACTGACGTCAAATTGGTAGTCTCGAGTTCTAACTCACGTGCTTTCCCATCTCACCATGCGAGTTGCTACTCATGTTGAGTCGAGCATGTGAGATCGCTACACGAAAGTAAAAATGGCTGACGGATACGCAATTCTCATCGCTATTGAAGAGTTAGAAAGAGCCGAAAGACGTTGTTTGAGAAGGCAACGAATTTTTCGACCACGAGTAGATGACATTTCTTTTCGTGTCAA